TCTTTCCTAACCGCCTGAGTGATCAGTATTCAGAAAAAGTATCACAAAAGCTGTAAGATAGTAAAATCTGTGGAAATTTTACGATATGCACAGAAAACAGTTGTTCCTGATACCTGAAAGATATCTGAAATATTTGAATATTTCTTTGAGATTTGAAGTGAACTCCTTTACATTACTCCTAAAAGAACAGCAGTATCCATCTTTGTCTGCCCTGTTCTGTGCTAAAGATTTACCTGCAACTTGAAAGAGCAGTAGTTTGCAAACATATATACACTCACAATTTTTTTCCTTGTGTTTATATTTTTCATTTTTTTTTCCAGATTTAAAAAAAACCATGATGAAATCCAAAGGGAGATATTTTAAAGGCAGGGGTGCATTTCCTATTGTAAGCATATTTGGAGTAAGCCTTGACTATAATTTGGTAGACAGGGCACAAATGACTCTCAATTCACTATATTCACTTTTTTTTTTTTAAACTGGGACCACTTTCTAAGCTAATGTGGCATACATATAAAAAGCAATGATGGCATGACCAGATCAAAATTAAACAATAACAAGATATTTTGAAGATGTGCCTGATTTCTTCGCTGTGCACATTGGTTTCTTCTTCCAGCACCACCTTCTACTGACAAAGCGCTTGTCAGAATGAAAGGCAGTTTGGAAGGACAGGTCTAGAGTCAAGTAATGAAAAATTAGATTTTGATGTTGCAGTTCTGCCCAAGAAGAAAATATTCCAACATGATATAGCTTCAGATTCCTTCCAATTTCAGCAGTAAGACAAAAAGAAAAATGCAGCATATAATCTGACCTAGTTAATGTTTAAAAAACAGAAAGGTTTTTCAAGAAATGCGTGGATTTGTGAAGGAACTGGGGTTATAATCAGTAGGGAAATTACTAAGAACTTGGTTATATTTGTACTTAGTCTGTAAAAATAAATAAAAGGTAGATAATTGCTACTGTAAGAAATGGATTTAAGTAAGTATTTATGATGAGCTGACAGGTCCTTTCTCTGTCATTTTTCAATCACAGCTTAATCATTGTGTGCCTTAGTTTCTCCAGCACGATATATGGAAAATCATACTTAGTCCTTTCAGAACACTCTGATGATATATTTATAAAAGTACAATGAACTTCCATTGCCTTCAGAGTCTCACAGTGAAAGCAGCAGAAATAAAAAGTTTTCTTATATTACTGTACGAAGCCGAATCATTGTCAAATGCAAAGTGCAAGTTAAAAGTACTTCAGCTTAAGGAGGAAGCTGAGTCCTTGGAGGATCAAGCTGAGGCTTCTAACATAGTCACCAAGTTTCCACAAGAAAGTGATAGTATCTTGGAAAACATACCAGATCCATACTGCATTTGGGGACATCATGACAAAATTGAAAGCAAAAGATGCAAAATATCATCTCAATTTTTTGGACTCCATAAGCAAAGGAAAAGCTCATAAAAGTATTACACATTTCACAATATTATATTTAAAAGCTTTTTTGTTCCAGAAGCTAATCTAGTAAAGTAAGATTTGGAGTTCAGGATAATCTGAAAAAAGCAGACTCTGGAAATAGGAACAAAACAAAATGATCTGTTCTGCATAGACCTCCAGCTCATTTGCAAAAAAAAAAAAAAAAAGAAAAGAAAAAAAAGGCATAAAAAGGTTGCAGAGGTAAAACAGATAGACAAGTCGACAAGTCCTGACTGATATTAAATACAGGAATTCCATTAGTAGGGAAGATTTAAAATATCAGGTATGTTAGAAAGGTAAACCTAGAGTTAGAAGTGATCGTGGAATTACTCTTACATTCAGAGTAACACAATGAGTTTCTGGTTATTCACTTAACCTATACCAAAAATTCTTTCTGAAGGCTCAGGCTCATTTCAGACAACTAGAATTCCAACTTCACACTAGATGGGTACATTTATTACCCATGGTATAAAGCAGCACACTAATAATATTAAGGCATTTTTAGCTGTCATTTTCCATTTCCTTTGCTGTTCAGATAAATTTTACTTATTTATTTATTTTTAATGACAGATTGTGTAGAATTAAAACACCTTCCTGTTGACTAAGTCAGTTTGGAAATCAGTAAACTTTAGGCACAAATTCATCAGAATACGCAGACTAAAATTTGTTAACGGAAAAGGATAAACAACTATTACTTTATTAATTCTTCATTTTAAAATAGCCTATTTCAAAAATTTAAAATAATTTATTAATGGCTTCTTTTGTGCTGATGTAACATGGATTAAAGCACATCTAAGCAAACAATGTCAAACTTAACAAAGGTGCCCAGATAGGCTTTAAAAATGTCATTGGCTTCTCTTTGCACTCCATTCCACATGTAAGCATCTCCTTACTTTGAAGAGTTTGGGCAATTTTGCTGCTGCTCAGCTCCTGTAATGCCTATCACCATTTTTATTCATCAACCACTTTAATATTTTACATGCAGTTTTGCCAAGCTACTAGCTAATCGTTCCCTTTTTTGCATGTGTGCAGTTTTAACTCTTTCTTCAGTCACGCCACATTCTTGTTCTCCTTTTCCTCTAATCTCCCAATCTGAACCTGCCATGTCTCACTTTTCTTTGTCAAACAGACATTTTTCCCAAAATCTTTTAGTGCACCAATGCCTGCTTCCTCTAACGCTTCAAAAACAGCCAACAACCATGAAAGTCTACTGGAATATGTTCAAAGAATTCATCATGACTCTATTCCCTCCTCCTACTTCTGTTCTTCATATCTGTAACTGTAAATGACGCAAGCTGGATTTATGCAATATATATTTTTTGTCAGTAAATAAATCTATTTAGAAGCAAGCTAGCTTCCTATAGTAGCTTTAAAAAAACCTGACTGATCTTCACCAGACAACTTACTTTTAAAGACATTAAATTTTGTCGGCTACTGACATTGAGAACATATTCACCAAACCAGGTTTGCTAACATTTCTTCAAAACACAATCTACTTTTACTAGGCCAGACAGCCTGATATTTTAATTGTTAAGAATTAAAGTGTTTTATGGTAGAGAACTTGCTATCATACCTATCTGAAAAATGCATAGATCACATTAGCTCTATGGAAATGTTATACTTTGAAAGTAAGAAAAGCAGCATATGCTAAGACGTGTATTCAAAATATCCTAGAAAGAAGGGGGTTCATTTACATGTTTCCAAACTCCTTAGTGTTCCAAACCCCAGCTTTTTTTCCTCTCCTTACTTTAATAAGGAAAAAAGCACAAATGCCACAAAAGCTGACCTGTAATCACACACATATCCATGCATTAAGAGCTGGATTTGGTATTTCACAGAAGTATCTTTTTCTTTTCTTAAGGATATTTATAATGTTAATTTAGTATTCCAATAGATATAATAATTGTTTTTCAAACCGGGCGATGCTCTGCCCATCCACACAGACTAACTACGTGGGTGGACTAACTGGCCTACGTAACCATGATCATTACTCAGTTTTCTGTTGTAATGTGAAAGCTGCACAGCTCTTACATTTTCTCTCACTAAAATAAAAGCTTTCTTCCAGAACATTTTTAAGCCTTCAAGCTTGTAAAACCTGTGTTTTAAAAGCTCTCAGGGTCTCTTCTGGGCACAGACTTCTTTCCTGCTTTCAGCAACACCTGATCACTGTCAGGGCACTTGGAGCTCTGCTCCCTTTTTCCAATATATATATATACTAGGAGTCTTTAATGTTTTAAATTCATTTTTCCCTTTTTTTTTTTTCATTAAAGCTAACAGTCACAACTGCAGGTGCTGTACTATTGAGAGCCACAACTACGCCAACAGTTTCAATTTTAAACCTATTTTTCCCCATTGATGACATTAGAACTTCACCCACGGCTGTACCAGCTTATAACTTTCACTTTTAATTAAAGAAATTAAATTGGCAACATGAAACACTTTGCTTTCGCATTAGCTTTGTTAATAAAAAGTGAAAGTTAAAAGCGGCATAGCTGAGGGTAAAACCCCAGTCAGAGCTACGACCACACTGAGGTGGAATGCAAGAGCACAGGTCTCGAGAAGATTTATTTAAAAATCATTCGAATTGAAGTAATAAATTCCTAAAAATTCAGAAAGGGATCTCAGCACAGTCATCTGCCTTTGCTCTCATCAGAAGCGAGTTGCAAGGTCCAGTTCAGAGAGCTCCTCGTGTCACAGAAGGCTGCTCTACACCCGCTGCCTTCGCAGAGGTAGCGGGAAGGATGAAGCCGGCAGGGAGGCCGAGCTCCTCTCCGTCGGAGGCGACAGCACGGGCCCTGCACATTTCCACCACACCATTTCCATGACACCTCTGCAACCAAGAAAGCACTTCGGCCTCTAAGACTGTTACCTTCACCTACAGACAGTATCAACCGTAAATACTAATTAACTTCAGAATCAACACCAAGCATCATTTCCCATTAACCAATTCAATGATATAGAACGGAATCCACGTGCAGATCTTATTTCTGTGATTACTGTACTTTTATTTTAATATACTAAAAGTTGATGGCCAGTGTTACTGATGTAAAACATCCAAAAAACAGGCTCATGAGTCCTCAAGATATAGTCTATTAAAAATACAAAGAACAAAATTAGTAATTGGCCAATAAAATAAAATGTGCATTTAGAGAGCTTGAGCAGATAAATGAATACAGTAATTTTAACATGATCAGCTCTGTTATACAGAGCATTATTTCTTGTTTCCTGAAAACAAGGAGAAATTTTTATTGTTTATTATAGAAAGCACAAATCAAAAATAGAATAATCAACTCCTATTCTCCTATTCAATCTCCTGTTCCACTTTTTTTTGCCTGCTACCAGCAGTATTTCCATCCTTACCCCCTGAACTGTACAATCTATATGTTCCAGGACTTGGAACAGCAGCAAAGGATGCAAGGGACAAGTCTGGCACTATAGCAAGACCTGCACCCTGCTATGCTAGAAGGGCCACACAACACACCATGTCAAACGCAAAGGTAAATTCCTCAACTGATTTCAGCCTGACTTTTGACCTTTCTGCTGTTGGGAGACTCTCCTTTGCTCTTTTTATGATTCCCACACCAAGTACTACCAGAGTTGAAAGATCCCTTCTGTACATACATACCGAGAGCAGCCAGCGGGAAACACACAAAGGAAAGAGCCCCAGGAAAACACACAAGGGGAAAAGCTGACTCTGCCAAATGGTTCCTGTATAGAGACTGCTCTCCAGAAACATAAATAAAAGATGGTCTCTCCTTAGGCTCTTGTTCCCTTACCCTGTCGCTGGCACATTAGGAAGATAATGCGAAATAAAGTAGCGACACCCAAGTCACTTGTAGTCGCTCCCTGTGCAGCTCCGACGCTAAATCCTGCTCATGCTGCCTGGCTGTAGCGGAGGGCGGCCTGCAGCAGTGGCCGACTGCGGATCACAGTTTGGGGAACTCATATTTTAAAATATTTCTACTGGAAAAAGCACTGCTTTGTGGATATACAGTCCGAGCTTCCATATATACTCTATGGTATGTGATGCAGAAGAAATCATGCTAGCTCCTAAAACAGTGCAGTCGCATTTTCAGTATTTTTTTTCAATTTTAAAGAAAAAAAATAGATGCTGCACTTGCTACAACAGCATACCTTGCAAGTCTCCCATCCTGTCAAGTTTATCTTTACCCAAAATATCTTACTGTAATATTAACAACAGTCACTACTGTTCTAAGCTGATGGTATGAAGCTCCTATTTCTCAAGTATTCCTCCGTCACGGCACATATGATTTTTAATGGTCTGTCACTTTACAAGCCAAATAAAATTGCTGCTTTGCTTTCAAGATAGTTTTCCAGCTCCATGATGGTTTTTACCTTGGGTAGTAATGTCAAAAATCTCAAAATAGTTTTTGAAGCCTAACTGTATTTTCTCCTGTCTCCACATCTATAGTTTTCTCTCTCATTCTTCCCAAAACATTTCCTGAATCTAAATCTGTCCTCTTAAGATGCTTATAAATTCCTTAATCATATCCCAGTATAACTAAAATTAGTTGCAGGTCTAGCAGAACACTGATACTTTCTTAATATTTTTCTGAGATCTCAAAAAACTCTCAAACCAATAACACAAAACTGCAGAAACAGCACTGTCATTGACCATCATTTATATTTCCTTCTTACCAAATTCTAATGCAAATTACAATACCAGTTTCAAAGCTTCCCAATTCATCACGAATCCCCATCACTTCCAGCTATATTCCTTCATTCTCCATCATCTCTTCCTAATGAAGATGATTCTTTCACACCATCCCCTCCAAAGCCTAAAACCCTTCCTTCAGCGTTATCTTACCCTACTTCGGTTGCTAGCAAGGCTTCAAAGTGTAAATATTTAATTAAAATATAGCTTTCACTGAGCAAGCCAAACCTGTATTCTATACCAGATGGTAGCCTAGGTATCACTAGCAAGCAATTTTGAAACCTTCCCTAAAATTATCCTGTTGAATACCTTTAAATTAAACATGTTGTTAGATAACATGTCAACACATGTAAAAGATAAAAGATCGTTCTCCTTGTCCAAGTCCTATTAATAAGCTGCAGCTTTTTTTAAAAAAAAAAAGAACAAAATTTTAGATTCAAGCATTTACAAAACAAACAAACAAACAAAAACACCCTGAAATTTAATTTCATTTTAAAATCCCAAGGCTTCTAACCTTTAAATGACACAACCCTTAATATTGCCTATATGAAGTACTAGCCCTGTTAGGAAGACGATAACCTCACTAAGACATTGAGCATAAAAGATTATTACTTTTTGGAGAAAAAAGCCTGCCACTAGTCAACATCTCACACCATGACGATACTGCAGACAGACAGTAGCAAAACAAGATGTACATTGAACTCGTTCTGCTGGAGTCACAGCAGAGACAAAACACTTTCAAAGCCCAAGCAATCCCCCTGGTACCAACGTAGTGTACCCAGGATGCGCCACAGTTGGGGCTCTACAAATTGATGCCCCCTCATTTAGCCAAAGAATAACTACAGACTATGAATAAAATGATAAAACTACTTTATACTGTAATACAGCATAAGGTACCTTGATCCAAGAAGCTTCTTTGCACAGCATTTCAGTCTCCAGAGCCAATTTAATCATTACCCTCCTTGCAGACACAAATATCAGCAGGCCACAAACAGACATGAAATGGTTACTGATCTTTAGCACTCGTTATCAGAGCAGCTGGGACAGATTTTAACTGTGTCAGTTTAATAAGTGTGTCATTACAATTACTGTATCCTTTCTGCAAAGTCTTAGATCTTCTTAGACAACTAGGCAAGTTCATGAGCACCAAAAAAGGAAGCCAAAAGACCCAGAGGTTTCCAATATACTGACATGCTGTAGTTCAGACGAATACTTGAGCTTGATGCACAGATTATTGGGTAAAAATTTAGTATGCAGGAATTCAGATTAAATGATTTAACAATACTTTCTGCTAATGTACTGGTGACCTTGTGTTTGGATCACAACTTAGATGCAAAGAAAATCATGAAAAATCCATTTATTAGAATAAAAACTTGTAATTCAATCATATTTTGCCAAAATCTGAACACTGTCCTACAAAATTGTTTTAATAGACAGTCAATTCATAGGAACAGCAAGGTTGAGAACAAGTTGAACACTCCGTGATGGAAAAACACTGTTAACTGCCAAACTAGCATTTACACTTAATCACAACATTGTACAAGCACATCCCAGAAAGTTCACAATATCCTTAACTTCACACTTAAATGTGGGTACTGATAAATTAGAATTGCTCTTCCATGGCTACTTAAAGAAAAAAGAAAATCATCATATATATTTCTAGTGCACAACATTTAAATATTTATATCATGCTGTTTCCTATCAGTTTCTGTTTAGGAAGCTGATTCACTCATTCAATACTTTTATGAAGATGATTTCTTCTAATCAAGTAGAAGACTTTCTAATAATTTGCTCTTTCTGTAATCTGCAGGAATCAAAGTTGTTGCTCATGCACTTACTTACTAAATTTGGACTACACAGAAATCTACTTAAAAAAAAAAAAAAAAAAAAAAAAGAGAGAGAAAGAGAGAAAGATACCTTAGCAGCCTTTAGCAAGATTTCCCTCTCTTGTTCGTCTTTCCTTTGCTTTTCTAAACGCTCCAACTGTTCAAAAAACTTCAATTGTGATCTGACATCTGTAGCTTGTTCATACCATTCATCATCCTGCAAAATGAGAATAATATTTTATGAAAAACATTCATTCTCTTCAAGGTTATGCATTTAAGCAAGACTTTAAACACTATGCCATATTTTCCTTCCAATGTACTAGAAAAACAAAAACAAAAACCTGTAATGACAGAGTAATATGTTACAAAAAGAGAATGAAACCAGCCTATGCTTAATACTGTAGCTAGATTTTGATTATTTAGCTAGCATTTATTCATATGGAAAAAAAATAAGAATTGATATCACAATCACACAGATATCAGAAAGTTTTTTTAAAAAGGATGAAAGACATATTCGCCAATTAAAAACAATGAGGATGTATAATTTCTTTACAAAAATATTAGATTCCATTACTTTGCACACAAAATGAACAAAGCAAATCTACACTGTGCTAAAAAAAATAGCTTACACCATTTCATTTTATAGCATTTAATACCTTGTCTTTGTACACTTACTTTGTGTGACTCCATACGGTGCTGTGTTATCACTGTTACTTTTTCTATCACTGTTCTTAATCTGTTTTGGGTTGCATGGGAAATAAAAGTAACCACCTCAGCTGGCACATCGGTAATTCCTAATTTTTTAGCTAAAGTGGAAAACAAAACAAAACAAAATTAGCTAACTCCTCCTCCTGAAAAAACAAAAAAAAAAGTCATGACAAATTCATAATTTCATTTACCTGAACAAAAAAAATCCTTGAAAGCATATATCTATCTAGCTTTGGTGATACATTCACGACCTCTTGGAAACAGGTGTGACATTATTGCAAAATTTTAAATGAGAAATTAGAGCTGTTACTTTCCACTTAAATATGTATGAATTTCTACAGTTTATACCAGCATCTCGAAAGAAAGTAAAACAGCGTATGAAAGAATTTGATCTCCCAATTCTTCTGAACAACAAAACGCAATTCCTTTATTTTCAGAAGTATTACTCCAGATTAACTTTGGTGTGATGTGAGCAGACTGTCTCCCAGAGCATGCTGTTGCATACCCTCGCTTACATTATCAGCATGCTACCAATAAGAAAAACTGTTTAGAAGAAAGAATTATTTGACTATGAGGAAGTAAAAACATTTTAACTACAATTATTTTAAAAGTTTCCCAAAAGTTCCCACAAGAATTCTTAAATATATCAAAATGCTTAGTAAGTACTGGATATAAATTTGTAGAGGTATGTACATACATAGTACCCTACCCTCTAGTCCTAGTCCATGGGTACTTCCAGGGGGACTCACAATTTTCCAAACAGAAAACTGTATGTGCATGTACATATATATAGATTTCATCTATTAAAAAGAAGCATATTGGATGCCTTTTGCAAGGATTATTGGATTTGACCTACCATAAAACGATAAAACTGAGTTAGTTTTCTTTAACGCTTTAAATGAACCCAGATCTTCTAAAAACATGTGCAAATACGTATGTTTGTGATACAGGGATGCATATGCAGAATGTTACAGAAAAATTGTTTCAGAATATTTTGTAAAGTGCTTCCTGAACTGCTAATTCGAAAAGTAACCTTCATTTGTGGGGTGTGGGGAGCCAGGCAAATACAAACCTGAGAATCTTACAAGTATTTTTTGTGAAGCATCCCTCTTTTTCCAGCCCAACCTCAAGAGCAATAAACCGTCACATGTCTAAAAAATGAAGACGAACAAGTGAGCAGCGGTTTTATATTGATATGCACTTCTGTTACTTCAGCGCGGTGATCTGAACGGAAGTGGCAGTGCGGAGCATCCCCCGGCCCGTCACCGCCGCCGGGCCCGGCGCGCCACGACCCTGGGCCAGCAAAACGCCCGGGCCGCTCGCCCGCGCCGCGGCGGGCAGCGCCGCATTATTCATACCTAGGAAACCGGGAAAGTAATACTGCCCAAAGTGAAAATTGCTCTGAATTCTGTTTGGAGATATGGCTATTAGAACTGATTTTGTATGAAGCTGCATGAAAAAGATTGTATTTCCTGCAGCTCTTGCCTGCTCCATCTCTTCCTCTTTTTTTTTTTTTTTTTTTTTTGATCTGCACTGTCTATTTAAATGTATATTTTATTACATCACTACAGCACATCATTCCCACACTTCCCAGAGCTGAATTCTCTATGTCATACACTTGTGATATTAATTTTTTTAATGATTCTTTGAAGTCGTTATCTCTTTAACTTAAGTCATCACCAGTTTTATATTGTACATGTTACCTTAAGGATTTTAGCAATATGGATATATATATACTTTTTAACTGATTGCTGCTTTATCACTTAAAAAAAATTAAATCCTTCTTGGTGACCAATTTGTTCTCTGCAACAGAGATGGGACTCTACTGAAGTTGCTGAAAGCTGAAGATATAATGGAAGGCAGACACATGAATTAAGATCCCAATGCTACAACTCTTACCCATGGAAATTAAGACCTTGAAGTCAGGAGGACTACTCATATTTGTAAGATCTATTCCTGCAAGTCAAATTTGCAGTACCTGGTCCTATTTAGCATGACAAAATGCAAGTTAAAATGAGGATTAACTAATATTTAGAAAAGATAATCGAGATGGAAAATTCTGCTAAGCATTCTAAGAGTATGGATGAAAAAATGTTCTTTTTCTAGAAACTAATAATTCTTCGAATTTCAGCAGTAAAAATTCAGCTATCCAACTTCCCAGAACATCCTTAATTCTTTCATAATAAAGAACTATCACGACCTTGTTTCTTTCACCATAAAGTGACAGTTTATTTTGTCCTAAGTAAAATCAACCATTATGTGACTTCTTTTTGCCCATTCAACTCTTGAAAAAAAGCAGATCCATAACCAAAGAATCATTCCCTGAGACGTTTTGTTCCTAAATATTATTGTCCTACATCTTCCTTATCTGCCTCTGCAATAAATGTGTAACTTTCTGCTCCTGAAATCCCTCAAGGCAATACTTTGCATTCCAGAAAACTAACTGGGCATTGGTTATAAGTAGCATCCCTCAGGAGTCTATCCTGAGGCTTACCCATTTTTATATATTTTCTCAGGGACACACAGCACCTTCATCAGGTTTGCAGATGGCACCACACAGAATGGCACAGTCAGTATGCTCCAGGCCAGGGTCAGAAGGAGTTGATGAGTGGGCCAACAGGATCCTCATGACATTCGACAAGGACAAATGCAAAGTACTGCAACTGGAATGGCCTCACACTCCGCAATGACTCAGGTAGGGAACTGCAAGTCAGGGTAGCAGCCCTGACAGAAAGGAACTGAGTCCTGGTGGGCAACAGTTAACTGTGTTTCAGCAGTGCACCCTGGCACCAGCGAAGTCTAACAATATGGTGGGCTGTATCAACAGTAAAGCAGCAGCAGCCAGTAGATGAAAGGAAAGGATTATTCCTCTTCCCTCAGCACTCATTAGTTGCATCTGGAATACTGCAGTCAGTTTTGGGTCCCCTGTTGCAAATTATTTGCTGCAGGAAAAACCCACCAAGATGGTCAGGAGGTTGGAGTGCACAACCTATGTAAGGAGTCTGAGGAAATGAGGCTTCCTTATCCTGAAAGAGAAAAGGCTGAGACAGTAAGTTATAGAGAAGATGGAAATACTGAGATGCTTTGAAGGAGAACAAAAGGTAACTGTAATAATTTCTAACAGTATTCTGATGGGATATGGGGAGGGAGGATCTTCATTATGAGGATAATTGAACATTGGAACAGTTTGCACAGAGAAGTTGCAGAATATCTATCCCCACAGGCTTACAAGACTAAGGGGGATAATGCCCTAAGCATCCCAGTCTGAGCTCAGCAAGAGGTTGGATTAGATGATCCCCACGGAGTCTTTTGTTTTGAATGATTCTACGATCCCTATGCCTCCCAAATAACTCATATTCCCATCCATATTCCATATGATCCCACAATACCTAGACTTAAACCCAGGATAACCACCTACCATGTCTCCTAGCCCATATCTGTCCAGCTTGCTGGCTGGGAAAAGTCAGCACACACTGTGTCTAGTTTGGAACTAGGCATTTTGGTAACTGGTTAGTCTCTATACAGGTCCTGACTGGTCAGCCAACCAATTAGAAGAACATATAGAAGAAGAAAAAGGTTAGTTTTCCCCCCTGGGACTCACAGCGGGGCTGTCTAGCTGCTGATTTATCAATGGATTCAAAAGTTATCTGAAGGGAGAGAGAAAGAAGGCAAACAGGTTATCCAATCATTCAAGGCTAGCTTTCTTCGGAAAATAGGCTGAAGAAGAAAGAATACAAAAACTATATTAATGAGAATCAAGAAATCAGACTACAAAAAGATAAAAAAAAATTCTTGTCGTCTACCATATCTATCATAAAAGCAGCACCACGTTTCTTTCCTGTTTTAAATTATATTAGTCAAAATCTCTTCTCCAGAACAACTGCTGATAGGACAAGAGGAAATGGCCTCAAGTTGCATCAGGGGAGGTTCAGTTTAGATGTTAGGAAATATTTCTACATAGAAAGAATGGTGAAGCATTGGAACAGACTGCCTGGGGAAGTGGTGGAGTCACCATCTCTGGCAGTGTTCAAGAACCGCATAGACGAGGCACTTTGGGACATGGATTGGCAGGCAGGGTGTGGAAGGGCTTACAGCTGGACTTGATCTAGAAGGCCTTTACCAACCATAATGATTCTATAGTGCTATGAAAATCATGGTGACATAGGGTAATCAGAAGCAGAACTTACTCCAAAGATGTACAACTACATGAAGACTTGGCATATTGAAATACTTGGATTAAACATGACAAAGATGGAAAAGTTATCAATGTGCTTCTGAAAATTTCATCTACACTTGAAAATATTGGCCCAATTTTATTATGTGAGAAAATAAAAGTCCTGTGTACTGTCTTATTGATCTGTTGACTTAAGAAAAGTTCTAGTACTCTGGCTTAGAGATTGTCCTTTTCTACTTTCTGCCACCTCAGTAAGCAGCTTAAAGCCAAATATATTTAAAAGAGAGAAGTACAATGACACTGTCTCACAAAGAAAAGTAAATGCTAAGAAACAGCTACTGAAACTATGCAAAAAAATGAAAAGTGTTGATTTTCATATGTATCTATATTAAAATTTTAATATTTCTCTGCTACATCTCCTATTGAGTTCCATCTACTCGCATTTTTAAAAGCATGCCAGAATTCTGTCTGCCATCAAAGGGAAATAGTGCTGACCTCTAAATATCCTTTAATTCCTGAGACATTCGTCTTGTCTGCATGAACACTTTTCCTAGTTTAACTCAGAAAGGTGAATCTCAAGATTCAAGAGCTCATTAAAATATGACAATAAACAGTAACTAGACTGATGATGATATGGGAACAGAAATATAATTTATATTTTAACAAAAGTGGATATATATTTTATAATACTATACCTACTAAGTAGTATCTCAGAAGACACATATCCTATATCCTTCTAATCAAGCCATTGGATACTGATTTTGTCTACTTGTATTTCTGTTTATATCCTACCAGGCTTGATTCTAAGCTTAACTGAGACATCTGATCACTGCAGTACAAAGTAATAACATGTAATGAGCATACATATTCATAAAATATTCACACACAAATCCTAAAAGCAGATTAAGATTATACAAAAGGATT